CCTCGCGCCCGACTCCGCTCTCAGTCAATCCAGAGCAGAGCCGGGCAGGAATTTCCCAAGGACCCATTTTTTGCCAGAAAATGCCGATTCGGTTCAGAGGAATGTTTGGTTTTACTGGGAAAAAATTGCACCGGGGGGAGATGAAATAATTTTCAAAACGAACAATTCCCGTTTTCTGGTTCGAAGTGAGGTTTCGGTTTGAAATTGACGCTAACGAGAGTAACGACGACAGCAACAAAGAGGAGAAAAATTGGGTGAGATGGAAAACGTTTCACTTGAAGCGACGCCCGGCTCCGGCGGCTCTGCCTGTCTGTGCCGGGGGCTCCCCGGGGAGCCAAGGCCCCTGTGCAGCCGAGGGCAGCTTGTTGCCAGGCGGTGGATGGCGTCGGAGCTGTTTGCCAGGCGCCCAGGGACGAAAATCAGCGAATGGGGAGTGTGAAAGGAGTCGATCGCACTGTGTGTGGGGGGGGGGAGGGGGAGCCGCTTTGCACTGGCTGACCCTGCCCAGCTGTTCCCGCCCCTGCAGGTACCACTGAGAACTGCAACAACCATGTGCTATGCCCAGCAAACGCCAAGTGTGTGAACAACACCCACTGCACCTGCCTGGATGGATTCCAGTCACATGGGAATCGCTTCTTCACCGACCCAACGGAGATCTGTGACGGTAACGGGGCTCCCACGTTGTCCTGGGGGGGCTGGGACAGAGCAGGGCATTAAGTGCCGGAGCAGCCAACTCCACTGACTGCAGGGCCTGTGGGGGGGCTCAGCCCGGCTGGGGAATGGGGGGGGGGGCAGCAGCATGGGTGAGCGCCGCCCTCCTGGGGATCGAACCGGGGCCTCCAGAGTGAGCAGCAGGAGCGGCTGCAGCAGGAGCTAGGAGTGTTGGGCTCTGTGAATTGGGCACAGGGTGGGGGGGCCCATCACACTGACCCGTCTGAATCCCAGCCTGGGCCCTAGTCAGCCCCTGGGTGTCCAGGGGCAGAGGGGCCCCACGGGAGCAGAATGGGGCAGCCCTGGCTGTACTTCCTCCCCCCGAGCCCGCAGGGATCCAAGGAGGGAGGGGGCAGAGGAAAGGCAGCTTGTCACCCCCCCCCAACACACAGAGAGCCTGGAGCCCCAGGGGAACGTCTCAACCTCCCCTCCCCTCACATGGGGGATCTGGCGTTTGTGGGGCCAAACCCCCCGTACCTGGGGGGGCTGTTTCCGACATTCCAGCAGCAGAAATGGGTAACTGAGGATCACGGCCTTAATCACTAACCGCTCAAGACCCCAGTCGCCTGCATCCCGTCACCCAGCTCAATGCAGGGAGCTGGGGGGTGATACAGGGAACATCTCCCTGCCAGGACTGTACGGAGCGTCCCCTCTCGCATTACAGATATTAACGAGTGTCTGGGGCCGAGCCCGCCAGACTGTGGACGCAACGCATACTGCGCCAACATGGCTGGGAGTTACTACTGCACCTGCAGCGATGGCTACGAGCCCAGCCCTGGGAAAGCCAACTTCACACACGCGAGTGAGAACACCTGCCAGGGTGAGCTCTCCCCTGGCCCCCACCTGCTGAGACGCCCCCTCGCACACAGAAATGCTCGTTCCAGGCCTGGTGCTGCACCGGGGCTGCTGCCGGCTTTGGCAGTGGCCTGAGACTGTCAGCGAGGCTGTGATGAGACGTGACCCTCTCCTGCTCCCGCAGAGCATGGGGCCGGGCTCACCCCTGTGCCCAGTGCTTGGGCAGGGAATAAACCCTCGGGGTTAGAAACAGACCCACAGAGCAAACTCCTTGTGCTGCAGAGATGCACTGGGGAGAGGGGAGGGGACCCTCGCTGGCCCCAGCACGCAGCATCTGAGCTGCTAGTGCCCCGCGGAGCCTGGGAAGTGGCCCCAGGAACGGCTCTGGGAATTGGGCTAAAGCGTTCTTGAATTCGCCCCCGTCCCCTATTGCTTGAGCTTCCACTAGGGCAGGCAGCCATGCTCTCCTCTGGCCTCTAGGGGGCGCAGCTGCTAGTTCGAGGGACCCTCCCACTGCCCCAAGCTCCCTGGAGGGCAGCGCTGTGAGGGGGCATGTGCTGTGACTGGCATTGCCAGCCCAGCCCCAGGCTTCCCTGAGGCACCCCGAGTTCCAGCAGTCTGGGGCGGGGACATGGGGTTGGCGTTTGTCAGCTCCGTGTGCTGTCCCGGCTCTGTGCGGGTCGCTGGCCCGGCAGACCTCCATTGAAGTGCCCAGACAGCCCACAGAGTTCGATCAGTGGCGAAGGCGCTCGGCCAGGTTTATTGCCAATGCAGCCCGGTGCCAGCGCCCAGAGATGCCACAGGGACACGGCCACACGTCTGCCTCTGACAATGGACCCCGACAGTTACAGACTGAGACAAACCATCTGGGATAAACAACCTACGTCCCAGCTTGTGTGTTTCACAACATGCTTGTTACCCCCCTTGTGCCTTTCTCCTGCTGCTTCAGACTAAACTTCCCTTATTCACCCCCTGGCTTTGTACTTTACTCCTGATGCTTCAGACAAAACATTCCCCACCCGTCAACCCATCTTATCGTGCGCTAGGCAGGGGAATCTCGTGCTGGGATGTGGTTACACAGTCACTGGGTTGTAGCAATGCCGGCAATACCGGTGCTGAGTTCGTGCACTGGACAGTGAACTTGCAAACAAGCCTCTGCTTGGTGTCAGGGTGTGACTGGTGCCTGGGGGGCCCCACTGAGATTGCTCCATCCGGGCAAACTGCAGAGTGGGGCCGACAATCCCCCAAACTGCTGGTTATTTCTGATACTTAGATTCACCAAACCAGCAACAAAACAGCTGCTCCGATACCGTGCTGCTTACCCAGAAGCCAGAAACACAGCTCCCGGCTCCTTTTCTAGTGTGGCTTTAAAGGCAGAATTTGGGTCATTTTGCCAGCAAGTTGCTTAACCCTTTCTGGCTCAGTGTCCCACAGGGCCGGACTTTTGCTCAGAGCATCACTTCTGCTGACTTTGGTTCGGGCCTTGTACCAGGCCCCTGCTCCAGGCTCTCTCTGCTCCAGCTCCATGTCGCTCCCCCAGGGCAGCGCTGGGAGGGGCATGTGCTGGGACTGGAATTGCCAGCCCAGCCCCAGGCTTCCCTGAGACACCCTGGCTTCCAGCGGCATGGCGGGGGACACCCGGGCTGACCAGCTCCGCATCGCTCCTCCAGGGCAGGGAGTTTGCCCAGGGCACAGACCGAGAGGTCTCTCTGGGCTCGCAGGCCAGTGGATTCGGAGATCCCTTTGCACTGGTGAAGCTGGCGCATGCACCAATGCCAGTCCCCTGGCAGGGGAGACCCACATGCTGGTGTCTCCATCGGGGGACGCTGGAAGCTCCCAGCTGCTAAATCGCTTTGTGCTGGTCCCTGTCTGTGCTCCCTGAGCCCCCCGAGTCAGCAAAGCACATGTTTGGCTCCAGCCCTGCCCAGCTACGCACTTAATTCGGCTCCAGTGGGTCTCAAGTGCACGGCTGAGCTCGTGACGACAATCCCAGGCACTAAAAAAATCAGGTTCGCTTAGAAAATCATGAGCTATAGAAATTCCAATGAGCAAGGGGCAGAGTGTGGAGTGAATTGAATTGGAAAGGGGCAAATTCAAAGCA